TGCTTGCCTTGTGTTCCAACAGAATGACAAGGAACCCAGAGATTCCCTCCCTACACTGCAGTGATTATATACAGTAGTCTCTGTGTTTGGTTTGGTCCAGGTCACAATCGCCAACACTTGTGTATCAGTGTTTTTCAGACAAATTTGGCACCAAGTAGATGATGAAGATGAGTTGAGATGAAGAAGCTTTCTGATCTTGAATGAAGGACTTGTTTAATCCTGGCTCCCTGCTCTAGGACCTGATGCAGGCTTGTTGTGCTGTCGCAGGGAGGCTGCTTCTAATTTTGGGAGGAAGATGAATGGGCTCCTGAGGAAGGGTGGAAGTGTAACGTGCTGATGAGCTGCTGCGTCTCCCACAGACGGACGAGGAGCTGCTGTTTAGAACTGAGCAGCCGTAACAAAGCAGCGGAAAATCCCCTAATGCACAACCCAGATGTCTGATGTCTGTGGACCATGACAGAAGCCTCTGTCACACTGTAATGAGAGGGGGAGAGAGAGGGGAGAGAGGGTGAGGGAGAGCTGCACTTTTGACTGGGGTCTTGTAGGTCCTAAATATAAATGTGAGGGGTCCTTGAAGTCGTCTGGTTTGATGAGACTCAGAGACACTGATGAGTCCCTCAGGTTCTGTGGCTGTAAGTGTTACCTAGTGTCGATCAACAGAAACCTGTGCTCTCTCTGCTGCTTCTCTCACATCTGTTCACACTGTGTGACAGAATGAATAAACAGTCTGGATAACAACACACAACACATTCAATAGCCCTAGGATAGAATTCTTATTCTTCAAAATATCTGACATTGCCCAAGACCATTTTCCCAAAGTGGGGGGTGGCACCCTGTGGGGCAGTAAGGTCAATTGATTTGTATTTTTGGGTAAGTGCAGACTTGTAATTTTCAGACTTCCATGGAAGTTTTGTGGATGAAATTATTCATAGTCCCCTTGTTGGACAGGAAATAGCTGGTTGATGGTTTTCTAGAGAAACAGTGGGGTTTTTTAAAAAATATACCACATGTGTCATCCAGCAGGCATGAGTTGGAGGATAAGCCCTGGAAGCGTACTGCTATAACTCCAAACAAGTGCAGTGACGGGAATGAAGGATAAAACTGGACCAGCCACAGATTATCTTCCTGCCCTGGATAAATCCTGCAGTGACCCTGAGATTCTAACACAGTTGATAACAAACACAAATATAAAGAGAGAGTCGTTTAAAAACTCTGAATAAGAAGGTTTTTAAGATCTCCCCACATGCAGTACTTTTCATTTGGTAATTTTTTCACATCATTTTTTTCATTTCACAACATCTAATTTATTTTATACTGGATTTGATGAATTGTCATAATTGAACCAGCCTGTTCATCCCTGGGGCTGGGAACTAGACACTGTGTTTTGACACTAGTATTTGAGTCACGGTTACCTCTCAATTCTTTTCTGTTGAGTTTTTATTTTGGCCTTTTTTGTGGGCAGAGGGGAGGGCTCGTTGGTGGGAGAGTGTCATAAATTGCTCACGCTCCTCCCAGAGTTAACCATAAGAAACGACTACACCCAAACAGGACTGGAGACAGCGGTTGTGCGCTGCTTTGCTCTGTAATTCATATATCTGAAGCAAGTGTGTGTATTTGTGTGTATACGCGGTAGGTTTGTGCTTTAATGAATGTGTGTGGCATTAGGGATCCTCAGATATTTTTAGAGCAGACTGAGCTCCACAGAAAAGACGAGAAAAATGAAAAAAAAAAAAAACAACAGCAACAACTTTGAAGTCACATTTTCGCACAGTTTTCTGAGTGTCCTTTGTGTGTTTGTGAGGGTACGGGCTACAGACATGCTGGCATCAATTTGACCATATTCTGTGGTGACATACTCTGATGTAACAATGCTGACAACACTGTTTTTACTGCAGCCATAAGGATTTTCCCACAGCATGCACACAGACTCTGTTTATTAGTGGTTTTATTTTTGAAGTCATAAGGGAGTGTCCAGAAAGGCAGGCAGTATTTTTACTACTACTACTTCTAACATTAGTCTCTGGCTGGTGTGCAGTGTCAATAAATACTCTGTTAAATGCCAGGGTTTTCTGTGCTTTTCCTTCAGTTATGATTCAAATATGTTTTACATTTTATGATTAAACAAAAGCTGAGTTTTTATTGGTACAAATATCAACATGTGCTAAATCAGGGCTGGGCAATTAATTTCCCCAAGGGGCCACATGATGGGTTTTACTCTAAGTGATTGTAAGTGACATTCTTTAAATATAGTTACTGTTTGAGTCTAAACTTGTGTGGTTTGGAACATTATTAACCAGAGAATCTAACAGTGGTGCACAGTGAAGGTTTGGATGCTCCTTTTTTCCTCCTTGAACTTCATTTGTACTCAAACTCCTCTTTGTCTGTCTGTCATTTCTTGGCAGCTCTATTGGAACGATTTCCTTTTTGGAATCCAAAAACAGGGCTTGACGTCATGGTTGAAATATATGCTCACAAATATATCTGACTCAATGTGTTTTTAGCTCTTCATACTATTCATGTACTACTACATAATGAAATTCTTGCATTGTTGTCTTGCGATAGTTTTACTCTTTAATTTAAAAAAACTGAAGCCTTTCTGTTGGTCTATTATAACCAATGAGTTTCTCTAATCTTTCTCATGTGTGTCATTTAAATCCTCTGAAATGAGAGTGGAGCAGATGATGAGTGAGGACTGCATCAGTCTGCCTCCTCTCCTCCCCTCTCCTCTCCTGTCTTCTCTCTTCCTTTTACTTCTTGTCATAAACTAATATAATTTCTCCGTCACTTCCATCCACTGTATTCAGTGTTGGAGAAGACATTACCCCCAGAGGCTATTGTACGTGTGACGTGGGCAGCCGGCAGTGCTGGCTCGTGCAGAGGGAGACAGAGAGAACCGTCTTAGACAAAGATCCTCAGCTGACATCAGAACAATGGAGCGGGCACACAGCAGCCCCCTGGTCCAGCATGGGGGGGACACAATGAGTCTTTTTCTATGACAGCCTGGGAGGAAGAGACAGCGTGTCAGTGTCAGCGCTGCTACTCTGCAAGTTAGAGTGAACCTGCACATTCTTCAAATGACATATATACAGTATATATATAGTACACACACAGTATGCACCACGTTTGGATGTCCTATTATTTATACAATGATCATTACTGATTCAGCAATCTTATGAATCGATGAATCGATATGAATCGAGGAGGTAGATTAGGAAAGGGATTTACTAGTAATTGAGTGGATGTAAAAAAACAGCCTCTCCTCCTGCCTCATAAAACCTGCTGAGCTGGAGCGTTCATGTCAGACAGATGTTGTCGTCATCCCTCACTGCTGATTGGTCACATTATTTATTAACAAAACTATTGTACTGACAAACTCACTTCTTGTGTGAGCTCATTCCAGCACTACAGTAACATTAGCACCGTCAGCTTCATACTTCCTAAACCTGCCAGCAGTTGGGTTTTACCATTTATTTCCTGCTGCTCGTTGGCTGATGTTTAACACCAAGGTTCATAAACGTATCCAGGTGTTTCCCCTGCAACTAATGATGGCCTTGGACCAGTCACAGTAAGTCATACTAAAGGAAGCCCACGGCCCGTCCACTTCTAAAACATCTAGACAGGTTCTTTGACACCTGTAAGCCCACGATTAGGAAAATATTCATAGGAAAAGGAAAGTGAACTCCTTGTCATTGTGACACAGCACACCACTGCACACAACCAAATGTGACCTCTGTTTTTAACCCATCACCAAAGTGAACAGTGGGCAGCTTTGAGGGGAGCAGTGAGTGAGGACGGAGCCATGCTCAGAGCACCTCAGTGGTAACTTGGCAGCTGGTGGACTCAAACCTGAGGCCTTCTGGACCCAAGTCCACTTCCTTAACCACTAAGCCACCACTGCCCCTCATGGACAAATACTAACAGTAATATTTGAGGGCTTTGTTTTCAGCTGTGAATAAAGGGGATTGTTCTTTGTTGGAAAGAAGCTGGTCCTCTGGAGAGGAAGGAAGTCAGGCAGGGAGGCAGCTTCTGGCAGTGGGATACACATGTGTGTCTCAGTGTGTGTGTGTGTTTGTGGCCACTTATATGATATTAAATCCAAACTATGAGCTAGAAAAAGTCAAATGCATGAAACTGTTTTTGTCATAAAACCAGCACGCCACAGTCCATAAATAAAACCTTAGTCTCTGTCCACTTGATCCAGCAACATTAGAGACAACTGTCTCCACTCCACTGGTCTCAGCCTTTTTGGTAAACTGTAGGAAACCCAGCTGCAGGGAGGTTTCTGCTGCTCAGCAGTTCTATTTCACAGGCAGCGGACTGAAACCCATCAGTCTCTCCACCAGTCGAGGTCAAGGATTTCTGCTGGTCACTCACATTGTTTAGGCCTGATTGACTGAAAGAGAACAGAAGGTACCAGGTTTCTGAGTGCATGATGTTTTAGTTTGTCAGACATATACGTTCTTATTGCCTAGACTGAAGAAATCAAATTCATACTGATTCAGCAATCTTATGAATCGATTTAAGCTCCTTGTTTTGAAGTTCAGTGGAGAACAGTGCCTCCTGCTGTCGGAGAGGCGCACCAACAGCGTTACTCGGTGCAGTGGTGTTGGCAGTGAGTCTGGTCCAGTGGGTCATGCCACTCACACAGGCTATTAGAACTTTTCCTCTCTTGTTGTGAAGAATAAGTGTGAAGAAGAATGCTTTTTAACATCATTGAAATGAGACTAATCGAGTTCCCTGTAAGTAATTAATTATTCCATTTATAAATCAGAAAGACAGCACAAACCCTCTGATCTTTACTGTTGTGTTGCTGTCCACATGAGCTGATGGATCCCAAAGTGGGGGGCAGGTCCCCTCTTGAGGGGGCTAGAATAGATGCCTGCAGGGCAAAGAATGTCAAACAAGTAGTGCTTTTAAATCACTTTTCTTTAATGATACCACCGTGGCACCGATTTGTAGTTTTATTTCCAGTCATTCATGTTTATGTGTTGTCCCTCCAGGTTTGAGAAGGGGAGGATTTACTCCTATATTGGAGAGGTGGTCGTGTCTGTCAACCCTTACCGTGCCATGAACATCTACGGCCGCGACACCGTTGAGCAGTACAAGGGACGAGAGCTGTACGAGAGGCCCCCCCACCTCTTTGCCATCGCTGACGCTGCATACAAAGCCATGAAGAGGAGGAACAAAGACACTTGTATTGTCATCTCAGGTAACATGGGAACCCCACTCAGCGCCCCTCCCCCTCCTCCTTACCTTGCTTTGACAAAGAATACAGAGATGAAGGGAGGATCTTTTATGTTTTTGAACAATTGCGTTTTTGTCCTGTTTACCTTGAACAAAGGACATGAGTTCACACACATGATGTGGATAATGTAGGACTTTGGTCTTAAGGTGTGTCAGTGTAGAAATCCTTACAGAGGTTCAAGCACCACCTGGTGGGAATCGATGGAATTGGGCCTCTTTCAAGAGTTTGCCCTGTACCACAAAGTGAGGTTCATTCAGGGAAAAACAACATGAATGATGTCATAATTAAACCAGTGTCTCGGCTGAATCTAGGACATCTAGAACCTTTTACTTGAAATATATATATTTCCAATTTTAGGTTTCATTAGCATTGTTACACTGCCCCAATTACATGCACACCATAAATGTTTATGGTTGTTTGTCACGTCTCTGATCCTTATCCTTGTTTTATGACAGGTGAAAGTGGAGCAGGGAAGACAGAGGCCAGCAAGTACATCATGCAGTATATTGCTGCCATCACCAACCCCAATCAGAGAGCTGAGGTTGAAAGGTGAGCGGAGTTTTTATTCAAGAAACACAGTTAAACCACTGCACTGGTAAACAAACAAACAAATCAACTGTAACATATTATAAAAACACAGAAATAATTTCATATTCTAGGCACGTTTTCTTTTCATTCAAGAGTACTTTTAAAAAAGTTCTAGGACAGAGGACTGATTTTAAAAACTAATCATACATTTATTGGGCAGTTAAATTATGGCTGAGATCATATTTTTGACCAAAATAAAATATAAATAGTATTCTGTTTAAACGTTTGAAACTTTGCAGCAGGTATTGTTTCTGTTCCATCTGATATATTTCCCCCAAATCTTTAAGAACATTTGAAAGATCAGTTGCTGGACAAGACAGAGAAGCAGGTTGTGAAGAAAAAACATCCTGTAGAATTCAACAAAAGAAGGAATGATTTAGTGGAAACAAGTATTTGGACCAAATCTAGAGGAAAATAATTTAGCATTTTCTTCTTATTTGTCTTAAAAGTTTTTGACTTACACTATATGCTTTCCTTGAAAAAGTAAATGAGATGCCAGAGTCCCAGACTGCACTCATATATATAGTCTGTACTGGAGCCACACCGTTGGTTCTACAAAAACATTTTTCTCTTCTGGCAAAACAGAGTTTCAGCTCATAAAAAATGGTTTCCTGCAGCTCAGTGCCTAAAAAAGCATGGGTGCATGAATTGGTTTGGCCAAAGGTTCTACTCCACAGTGCAGTGAGCTGGTTTACTCAGCCTCTGTTTGCACATCATGGTTAATTAAAGTTAGATAGAAACTGTTGTCATTGAGCAAGGCAGCAGGGCAGAGCTCGGCCAGTATCTGTCAGGTTTGATGAGAAGTGATCTCACACAGCTGAGACGATGGCGTTACATTCTTAGAAAGAGTCATTTAACCTGCAGTGGTGTACGTTATAATGGGAAATAATGTAGGACTTAAAATAAAGAGTTTTATTTGATCAATAAATAGAAAATAAACAACATCAAATAGGAAATAGGCATATGTTGTATGTTATTACCACTTAATTGTGATTCTAACATGGTTAAATGCCTGTAGTAGTAAACATGTCTCCAATACTGGAGAACACATTCTGTAGTTGCACAACAAATATGATTCAGGTGAACCATCAAAAACCAGAATTTTTAGTTTTTTGTACCTCTGTGTGTGTGTGTGTGGGGGGGGGGGGGTCGTCTCCCCAACTTTAAGTGTTATCCTTGTTCTCCAAAGGGTGAAAAACATGCTGCTTAAATCCAACTGTGTCTTGGAGGCCTTTGGAAACGCCAAGACCAACCGCAATGACAACTCCAGCCGTTTTGGCAAGTACATGGACATCAACTTCGACTTCAAAGGCGATCCCATTGGAGGCCACATCAACAACTACTTGCTGGAAAAGGTACAACCATCCACAGGATTTAGGACATGTGATCTGCTGTCACTTCAGGAGTTTTTTTTTTACCTGTGAAGACTTAAAATGTATCCCATAAAACCATGTCAGTGTCCATGTGTATGTCTCACATTTTACACTAAATTTGTACCTAAAGCTCATGGTACGTTGTGTTTATTGCCATGTTCCTCCAGTCTAAATGTGTTCCATATGGCAGCTTTATGGCCTGGCTGTACAGAGTAATATGGAAGTAAGGATTATCAAAGAAAGAAATGTTAGTTAGACATTATATTTTAACGTATAAAAATAGTGGACAGTTTTATATTTGTCTTCTGTCAGCTGGTCTTGTTCTTTCTCTCTGGTGTTTTATATTTACTTCTTATGAACATGATGGTTTTTTTCCATCCAAAAAGTGCCGGGTGATTGTGCAGCAGGAAGGAGAGAGGAGCTTCCATTCCTTCTACCAGGTAACTGTGTGTGTGTGTATCTGATGTCACTGACATGGACGCCTGAATAATAATGTGCGTTATGTTTGTGAGAGACATGATTTTATTTTTTTATATGGAAATCAGACCATTATTTGATTGTAAACAGTTGTTGCTCCTGTGACAAAGAAATTGTGTATTTTTTGATAACATTTGATAAACATGAGTTGTAGTAAGGTAAGTCAGTGTTTTTCTGTTCTTCGTTGTCAGCTGCTCAGAGGAGCTCCAGATTCTCTGCTGCGATCTCTTCACATCCAGAAGGACCCGACCGCGTACAACTACATCAAAGTTGGAGGCCAGATTAAGGTCATCTGAATTCCTTGCACATACACACTTGTTTTTTTTCTCCAAAAGTGCGTGTCTCTGCCACCAGGGTCTCATTAAAGTATTTGCAGAGCAAGCGTGGTGTGTGAAGTAATTACTACCTCTGTACTATGGCGTGCACAAATACAGCCTTTGAAAATGTGTTTTAAGGGAGACCGCTGCTGCGCGTGGCCATGCTTGTCTAAGCATAATGAGCAGGAACAAAAACACAGGGCAGCAACAAACAGCCTGACATTATGGAACATGATACAGTCAAACAGCTGAGGCAGTGGTTTCTCCACCTTTGTTTTTGTCGCCACATTTTACACATTAGCAACTACACGTGATATAAAACAGTGAGAACGTATTTGATGTCAAGGTGAATCAAGGTTGGAGTCCAGCTGTAGTACTGTTCTGTGTCATATCAGTAGTTAATGTTGAGCCTTTTGGAACTCTTCTTCTCTCTGTTCCACAGTCTTCCATCAACGATGGAGCTGACTTCAAAGCTGTGGCAGATGCAATGAAAGTGATTGGTTTCACTGCTGAAGAGATTCAGACTGTTTACAAGATCCTGGCCACTATTCTTCATCTTGTAAGTCCTAAGAGGAAAACATGTCTCTGCTGCAGTGAAGTTTGGATAAATACACAGGGATTTCTATTATTGGTGATGAGAAAATTGTTTTGGGGTTTTTTTTTACATAAAATTACAATATGTTTTTATACCTAACTAATGCGATTGATCCAATTAGCAGTAAAGAAAAATGTTTAAAAAAATTATACAAAATTATAACAGATCTGACAGCATCTAAAACCTGTTTCCTGTTCAGGGAAACCTGACGTTTGGCGTAGACGGAGATCTGACGCTGATAGAAAACACAAAGCTGGTGTCAGTCCTCAGGGACCTGCTGTCCACCAAAGAGGAGAATGTGGAGAAGGCCCTGCTCTACCGCACTGTGGCCACGGGTCGGGACGTGATTGAAAAACAACATACGGAACAAGAGGCCAGCTACGGACGAGACGCTCTGGCAAAGGTGATCGTATCACAAACGTTTGATTTTTGTTTGATTGACTGATTTCACCTTCATACTAGTTCGTGTTTTTAACTGCCAGTCACAGTGTTTTAGAAGCCTGACCTCACAGGGTTGTGACTCCAGAGTGAAGCTGGAAGCTCGGAGAAAAGATGCGTACCGTTTGTAGGCAGCTCTGAGACACGTAGACTGTGAACCCAAGTGTGACTCACTGACATTTCATGACATTTAACTCCCACTTATTAATCTGTCAACTGTAGAATGGCTCCACTAGTCTGTGGCCTTTTTTCTTCACCAGCTAGTATCAATTAGTCATTCACACATCACACCAACACTCCTGTCTTCCTCAGGCCATGTATGAGCGTCTGTTCTGCTGGATAGTGGGACGAATCAATGACATCATCGAGGTGAGAAACTATGACGCAAGGGTCCACGGGAAGAACACGGTCATTGGGGTGTTGGACATCTACGGCTTTGAGATTTTCCAAAACAACAGGTTAGTGTTGGGCAGAATACCTTGGCAGCTACTAAAGTGAGAGTGTCTTTATATGTATAGAGTGCGGGTTTTAATATGGTTTGAATCTCTGTGTCTTGTGCAACAGCTTTGAACAGTTCTGCATTAACTACTGTAATGAGAAACTGCAGCAGCTGTTTATCCAGCTGGTGCTGAGGCAGGAACAGGAGGAATATCAAAGAGAAGGAATCCCCTGGAAACATGTATGAAGTCTTTTTAATGTGGCCTGGACATGTTTTATTTTTATTGACTAAATCAGCTTTTATTCTCAGTTCACTTCTCCTTCGACCTAAAAAAACCCAAACATGTCTGTCCTTCTGCGTCCTTTGTTCTTGCACAGATTGATTACTTCAACAACCAGATTATTGTGGATTTGGTGGAACAGCAGCACAAGGGCATCTTCTCTGTTCTGGATGAAGCCTGTATGAACGTGGGCAAAGTCACAGACGAGCTCTTCCTCCAGGGGCTGAACGGGAAGCTGGCCAAACACGCCCACTACACCAGCCGCAAGGTAGGAAATGCTACTCATAACAGTGGCAAAAAAAAACCCATGAAACCTCTGACCTGGGGGGCAACTGTATTGACTTCTCTTTATTGTATTGACAGTGTAGTTCTTGAAAATACAGTACCAGCCCTTGAATTTGAAATTTGGTGTCGCTAAATGTCAGCCCTGTCGTCCTGTTTGCATAGTGGGCAAATGTCACTTCTACAATGGGACTTATTTCAGAGAAATAGCAGGGCCCGAGGGTTACATGTGGGTCACTCACCCGGGGGTTCAACCCTTAGGGAGTTTCATTGTAACACATTCATAACTTGGTAGCGTGGCCGGTGTATTTCTTTTGGACTACGTCAATTTCAAATGGTCACATTAATTTTATTAATACTGTTGCATATTATACGATGACATGTTGACTCTCAGTTAAGTTACTCACTAAGAACCGAACATGTATGAATCAGCAGCATGAAAGATTGAGGTTATGTGCTTGTGTCAACACTAGAGGGCAGTGTATTCTTTACAGCAGGTAAACATCAGCACAACAGGAAGAGCTCAATTTTGATCTTATCTAATAATCAACAGGACTACGATGTAATTCCCTCTAATGGTCTGTGAGTCTAGACTGAACATCCGTCCAGTCATCATTTATGGTCATTGTTTGTGTTTAGGATGAAACGGCCTGGTTGTAGTACAGGTCACTCAGCCGTAGTGATCATTGGGGCCAGTGCTGTGTAGTTTCCTTGTTCATGTATAACATGGAAATGTTTGTTTTCGGTCGGGGGGTAAGGCTGCAGTTCTGTCAGAGTCCATACGGGGGCATCAGCTGCCAAAGGTAGAGCAGGCTAGAGTCTGACTCAACACTTTGCACAAGTGATGTCACTGTTGACCAATAGGAGCGTGTAAGGCTGTTGGGTAGTGCTGTATTGGGAAAGGTGGTGAGGAGGACGTATTTGAAATTAATGAGGACAAATGAGCAGAGGAACATGGAGTGAACATCTGTCTACCTGCTTGGATAGTGCAGACAAAACTACTAGACTACAAAGAGAGGCACCGTGTCAGGAACACTCTTCACAGGCTTTCCGGGAAGCCGCAATTCAAAGAAATAAAAATTGAGCGAACACAACAGGCACTGAACCCTGCAGACACAGTTAGTGTGTGAAGACATGGCACTGTGAGCAGGGAAGTGAACAAAGCCAGGTGCAATCAAGATGGGATAAAGATTGATTGGTGAAGCTTCCATTTCTCCTATCATCTTAGAGTCAATCTGCCCCCCTGTGGCTGCCCTTCTGCAGCTGTGTGACCTGCTCCTGCTGCAGCACAGCTGGACAGGCCTGCGGTGTACGGCTACGGTTACTTCAAGAAACCAGGATTGGCATGGATCAATTTGAGTCTGAGATCCTTCTTCTTTTTATGATCTGAAGTCCTGTTGCTGGGCAACTTTAACAAAACACTTGGTGAAAGTAAAGTAAAAAAAGGAAATTGTGGGGATTGATGGTGACTGAAAAGGCAGTTTTGCAGTTTGCCTTTTTATTTACATTAAAACAGTGAAATCTGTCAGTTTAATTGTAGGTCAGGGCTGTCATGTTTGCTACTCACCCCCCAAACATCATCACAGATACAATGAAACAACACGGTAATCACATCGCTCTGCATTCCACTGTTCTGTTCTGATGACATGAAAAAGTTGAATCTAATCTAACTGGATAAAAGTAGTGAGGGACTAGTGTTTGTGCAGGTTTCCCCTAGTGTGGTTTCCACTTTAATTTTTATATAGAGTAAACAAACAGGAAGTACCAGAAGGATAGAAAGAAGGAGTCTTTTTGGTATTGTTGAAAAATAGGTTTTCAATCCCACACTCATACCACAGATTAGCTCTTGGGGAAATTCTAAAAATTCTGAGGCTTTGAGGGAATGAAGTTTAAATGAAGTGTAGCCTCAGAGGAATGTGTCTCTGCAGCCTCAAAGCTCACATCTCATCAAGCGTGCCTGCCAGCATGAATGGTGTGAAGGTTGGTAGAAGGGGAAGGGTGAAAGAGATATGGAGATGAAGGAGAGATGGTGGAGTCTTATAGAAAAGGAGGAGGACGAGGACAACAGTGCAGATGAAGTGTGTTTACTGAGTCTGTGGATCAATCAGGTAATTCTAGATTTATAAAAATGTATTTGGCCTTAATGGTTATTACCGCTGCGTTAGTGTCGTCCCTGTTCCTGTGTTCTACCACTGTAGTACAAAACCGACAAGGGACTGACAAGGGCAGGAGTCTGGAACCTTCAACGCCAAAAGAACCTTTGTATATAATTTTACCACTTAAAGATCTGTCAAGAGCATACACTCCATACACTGCTGCCTAAAGGGCAACAGTGATGTTATGTTGTTTTGTAAAACTGGCTCCAACTTGATTTCTGTGAAATGTGTTTTGTTGTGCACTGTGATCCAATGTTGTCTGTTTAAAAAGCACAGATGCAGTGAATTTGCATACACAAATATGAAATCCTGATAGATGGTCATAATTAAAATTTCTGAAAATAATGACAACTTTGCTATACTTCCTCTGTATTCAGACATTAGTGAAATATAGTATTACAGTGTATAGTATGAACTATAGTATTAGACAGATGTGTTCCAAGAAAATAATGCTAACCAAATGAGGCTTTTATTGTGAAAGAAAGTACAGCTTCTTGGCATGGAGTTTCAAGCCACAGTTCTGTTTGCTACCTAGTTTTGATGTGGATTTTAAATTAAGTTAAATCAGGTTTTTGTGCTCTGGCACCCCCCAGTGGAGGTGTACCTCACACTTTGAAAACCCCTGCATCGTATACATGCGTTTGTAAATGGCTGTGGACTCATATGGACACTTTGTTTAACTCAATAATTCTATAAATAATTCACTGAAAGCAGTTCACATGAATATTCACTGTGTGTATGAATGAATCCCATCAACAAGCTCTGATTTACATCCAGACCTTTTGATAAAAGGCTAAGAAATGGAGAGTCAGGAAGGGAGTGAGTCAGAGAGATCTATTCCAGGAGATGTTCTGAAACATGATCTGTGCTGCGGCTGTGTGTCTGCAGTTATGTTCTTACTGCTCTGCTTCCTCCTCAGTGAGTGATGCTCCACTCTGCCTTTCCTCTGGAGTCTACCAGACTGGAGCTCTCTCTCTCTCTCTCTCACACACACACACACACACACACGCACACACACAATGTCCAGTCCTCTTTGTGATGCCCATTTATTCACAAGATACTGCATGTGCCATCAGACCTGCAGTTCTAGCTCACATGCACTGACACATGGCTGTCAGGATGAATGGATGAAAATACACTCACGCATACACAGAGGCTGGTGTTTGTCAGCAGACTGACAACCAGTCAGATTTAGGAGGCAGAGGAGAGCAGGTGCAGCCTGTGCTTAGTTCTAATTTGTAGGTTGGAATCCCCACATGTAAACGGACTTTTCAGTCTGTTGATGAGAAATTATTTTTACTGGCTGTTAGCCTTTTCTGGCTTGTTATAAATAAATGAGGGCCCTTTGATGCCTCGAGGCCACAGCCTTGTTTACAGGCCTGGAGGATGTGCTGTCACTGATGCTGCACTGCAGTGAAAATCCAACCATCCCCTGTTTTTCCATGTGATTTTATGGCTGTCTAGAATGTCCAGAGAGGCCATATTTACATGTATATGTTCTGATGCCTAAAGTTTGACTTCTTCTCTCTGGATTTTTAACATTATTTTGATTTAATTATACAAAAATGCATTGAAAAGATTAATTTTTAGAGTGTATTTACAATCTAAATTTAAGATTTTTCACCAAAGACTTGGTCATTTCTTGAGGAAAGAAATAGCTAATGATTAGCAAAAAAGGCTGAAAGCTGAAGATAACCAAAGATCACATAGTCTTGGTTTTCAAGATATAGAAGTATGAGTATGAGTCAAAGGGCAGCAATGATATTGTTTAAAGCTGCCATGTGTATGTTTCAGAAAACCACTGGTTCCAGAGTTTACTGCAGTATTTACCATGGTACTGTTCAGTGTTACTTGTGATGGAGGTGTTCAGTCCTCTCCTTTGTCTCATTGCCTCTTCCTCAGCTCCTGTTCGTCTTATGGTGCATTGCTGTGATCTTATCCACACGTTTAATCATTTGCTGACGCATTTGTTTCTGTCTGAGCAGCAGCTGTGTCTCCCACCTTTCTGCCTGCTCTGTCGCAGCTCTGACATTTTTTTAATTATTATTATTTTATTTTATTTCTCATTAGAGTATGTCCTTAATTTAAATTGTGTTTTGGCTCATGCCACATACAAGAGCAGCATACGCTGCCGTATGTGGCATGTGATGCTTGCGTGTTTGCATGTGAGTTCTGCACCTGCTGCCACGTGTATGAGAAAATGAATGGATGCAGGAGGTCGTGCTAACTGGTTTAACATGCACTGTCCATGTGGTGGTGACGCTACTCACCGATTTACTCTGGTCATTAGATTCACGGGTAGCTCTGGGTCAACAGCAGCAGCAGCAGCAGCGAGGACACATGGAGGACTCAGGCCTATGTTAACTATATGTGAGTGTTAAAGGAAAAGTTCACATTTTTCTGGTGTGATACTTACCATGACTGCGGCGTTCCGGCTGCAAGAAGGGAGAGAGAGACAGATGGAGGAGTGGGAAGTGATTCATACTGTGTTGCAGTGAGAAAATTAAAGCACGGCTGAGTGCGTTAATCAAACAGGGAACTATTTTTAAATTCTTTTTGTGTTTGGCAACAACACAATGCAGGCGTATTCTTGAAGGCGTCTTGACCTCATATTCTGCCCTTACAAAACCAGCTTCAAACTCAGGACTTCTTGACATGTTTCATAGGATTTACTGCATATCACACACCAATGTTCCCCGTTTATGCCTGTCAAGGCTCAGGATGTGGCCCGACACTAAATGGGTAATACCATGACAGCTGCCACTCAGTGTACTGGGCTTGAAAAGCAAAATCCATCCAATCATCTGCCACCTGGATTTGGTCCCATGGTACACACTGTGATCTGTTGACAGGTTCTGGAGGCAGTCAGACGTCTGCTCCTCCTCAGGAGAGCCGGCCTGTGCTCTGCTTGGACCAGAGGCTAGAGAGGGCGGGAGGCACAGGTGGCAAACAGGAAGGCAGGGGTAAAAAGATTGCAGGAGGTGCTGGAGGGAGACGGAGAGGAGGAGGAGTAATCGATGAGGATCAAAGTGAAGGATGTTTACAAAACATCCATAAAGCACTGGTAAATATAATAATAAATATATGAATATACAGTATATGTACTGTATATAAACATGTAAATAAATAATAATAATTATGTATATTTATGTATATATGTACATATGTATATATGAATACGATTATGATTATGATCATAGAAATGTATGTAATTATTTATATACATTTAATACAGTTCATTGCACATTTTTTTGAATAACCTCAGTGTCTGTACTTTGTATCTGCAAGTGTACAATTAGACAACAATAAGATTACTACTAGTACTCCTACTAAATTACAATACTACTACTACTACGTTCTTGACTATAAGACCTAAGGTTTTTGATGCTTAGAAAGCAGAGGTTTTAAACACAGCGTCTGCGAGGCTCAACACAAAACTAGTGAAGAAAGACAACAAAGATTAAGGTTTCGACAACTCGAGGAGGAATACTAGAAAGACTACAAATCTAAGAACTACAGAATTACTGAGACATTGCCTTTGTTTGGAAAGGAAAAGAGAGGCATACGACCCAGACATTACTGTTGGCTCGGTAAAACAATGAGGAAGGGGAAATGCTGTGAAGCTCTACAAAGAAGCTTCAGTGTTCAGAGAAAACCCTCAGGCTGTCAGCAGAAGAACTTTTGGCCGTTTACATGTTCCAAACTGTCTGAACTCCATCTCCACTTGACCACAGTGAGTGTTATTGATCAGCCTGAATTACTGTCCAGTGAGTCCTGTCTTCAGAGAGGATGTTGCCTTCAACACTAAGTGTTGCTGTTAAACTGCAACAAACCACAGTAGGATGGAATTATAAGGCGGGCAGAGAGTGTGTGTACCCAGGATGCTTTGGTGATTCTTCTTCTCAAGAAAAAACCAAAACTCTTCTAAACATGTCACAGCCAATGGCGTGACGGTGAGAATGTGGCGCGGAAATGTCTTCTCACAGCTTCCAGTGAAATTAACACCAGGTGCTGTGAGTGTTTGTACATGAGACAATCAGCCCTCCGTGTTCTTTTTATTTCCTCTCTCCGTCTCTCAGCTTCTCACCTCACTTTTTTCTCTTTTCACAGTTTCCCTGTTGGCTTTGCCTCATGGCTGCACCTCATTTATAGTTCCCTGCACCACTCAGCCCCACCTAGTTCTGTCTTTGTCCTTATTTTTCCATCCTTCTGTTGAAAGCCAACATCATGTCAGCCTCTGGGATTGTCCACTAATTCCTTTACCCAATAACTTTTAAGACAGAAAACCCATAATAAAATGTCCAGATTATAAAGGCACTGGATGGAGGGTTGAAATATTATATTTCTGAATTACTTTTTCATCAGCGTGACAAATCTTTCCTGTACAAGCTGCTCAATTATAGATAAAAATATAGTCTTTCCCCCTGAATCACATGTCAGTTGCTCAGACTGAACAGTCATCTTGATGACAGTCACTAGAGCACAACAGCACATCATCATCTCTCTGTGGTTTGAAGCTTCATTGGACCAAAACATTGTTCTGGGAAATGAATCAGTGGTGACTGCAGTATTGTACTGTACTGTATTGTATACGTGCTGTATTACTACTGTGTGCAGCACATGCTACTGGTGCTTCCGTAGCCAGTGTGAATTTTGCTGACTTCACTCTTTGTCAGCAACTCTCCTGTTTGACATTCGTGGAGTGATTCGCCTGAAGCTGCTCAGCACAGTGGCCGTGTTTTACAGCCTGGATTAGCATCATTAAATTTCCACTGGAAGGACTTTGAGTTAAGTGCATGGCTCCACCCTAAATTGTTGTCCCAGCACAGGTCTCAGACACCATGTGTTTACATTTCTGTAAAATACATTAATATTTACAGTGGTCAATGACCACATCATCTCTGAATGGTCACCTGGTTTAATGGAAAACTCTATCTGTCTGTCTGTCTATCTATCTATCTACCTATCTAATCTATCTATCTAATCTATCTAATCTA